CGCCCCCGCCGCCGCCGGGCGCCCTCGCTCCCCCTCCCCAGAGGCCATTCCCTCCCGACCCCGCACTCACCCGCCCAGGTCTGGGTCAAGGCCAGGGCCCCACAGAGCAGCAGCAGGAGGGCTGGGGACCCCATGACTGGCATCCTCCAGGTCTGGGGAGTCTGTGAGTCCTGGTGAGTCCGCAGAGACTTCTAACTGGGGACAAAGGTAACCCTGATTGGCTTTTCTAGCACCTGACACCAATGGGAGTGAGAACTGGGGCCGTGTCACGAGTATCCAGGAAGGAGGGCCCCACACAGGTTGTGAGAGGAGAAGTGAAACTGCGGGGAGGTGGGGACTCCCCAACACTGAGTTTCCCGCTTCAGTCTCCGCCCTCGGGCTGGGACCCTGAGACCAGGCCTGGGACCTGGGACCTTGCCCTGACCCCTCTGTGTGTGACAGGGGGCAGGGCCACAACCTCCCTATCCGCCCTGCTCTGTTGGTGGCACCCCTCTCCCTGGAATGCACTCTGCCTCCCACCCTCACCTCTGCCCTGGACTCTTCTAGAGGAAAACTCACCCTGGGACCTTGATGCCAGAGAGCGAGCTCCCTGTGAGAGGAGGCAGAGGACAGGGTCTCCTCTGTAATCCTGGAGGAGCTGGGCCTGAAAAGACCAGTGAAGGGCAGGGGGACCACAGTCTTGGGAAGCCTGGACATCAGGAAGCGAATCTGTGAAATGAGTGATTTCAGAGGCTTCATATGCAAAGTGTCTAAACAGTCCTGCTGCCAGAGTTCCAAAGCTCCTCAATTCTCCTTCCCACACAGGAAGTGTGTGACTGGGGGCTGTTACATTGTGAAGTGACCCGCATTCCTCAGCCCTGAGTCTGTCCCTGTGAGTCCCCCACACCCTCCCTACAAAGGAGCCCAGGGAGCATGTGTGACTGTGCATTTCAGCAGGAGCCTGTGCATGCTCTCAGTCCCAAGTGCTCAGTTGGTCAAAGTGCCCTTCACCAGCTCTCCTGCCCTGCCCATCCTTATGAATTACTCACATGGAAGCAGTGCGCACATTTTATCGGGACACATTTTTTTTTCTTCACAAACATGGGTTTTATTATTATTATTCCCATTTTACAGACAAGGAAACTGAGGCACAGAGAGATTGAGTAATGTGCTTAAGGTCACACAGCTAATAAATAGATGTTGGAATGGCTTTCAAATGTAGATAGTCTGGCTCAAGAGCCTGTACTCTGAATTATAAGTTGCTAGTTTGTAGTGCTATTCTTAAAGGAGTTTTAATCATCCTATATAATAAAAGGCTAATATGTAAATAGACAGAATGGCAGAATAACCAGAACAATCGAACAACCGAACAACGGTCGTGATGACATGCGCTGACCACCAGGGAGTGTGCACGGAACATGCTGGTGGTGGGCCACAGCGTGATGGTCGAGCAGGTGAGCGGGGGCACCAGATCAAGGCGTGGTGCCGGTCGCCGACATCAAGGCAACACTCTGGTGGTTACTGAAAATTCTTTGTTCCCGCACACCATGGTCCCGCCTGGCACTTGAATCTAAGGTTGACGACAGAGCTACCGCTCGCACCTACTGCCAGTGCCTGGCGCTAGCCCCGATCGCTCGGAGCCATCAGCGGGTGTGAGTGGTGGTCACTGGCCCAAATCGCCCCTCAGCACTTCTCCACCTCCCCCTGCTCCTGATGGAAGATTGGGGCTGGCAGCTGCCTCTCATACCCGCTGCCGGTGACAGCCCTGATCACTCCTGAAGGCTTCTACACCTCCCCCTGCTCCTGAGGGGCTATCGGGGCAGTGGAGGATGGGCCGAGACCTGCCCCTGTGCCTACCACAGCCTCGCGGCCCACAGTTTTTTTCAAGGTGCATGAATTCGTGCACTCGGCCCCTAGTATTACATGTTTCTCCAAAAACTTCCTTTTGTTGGTATTGAGGGAACAGATTGTCTCTAACCTTTTTGCTTCTTTACTTAGTACCAACCACAATTACTCTCACCATCACCACCACCACCACCACCACAGCCAAAACACTTCTATTGAGCCAGCCCTTTAGCTTCAGGATAGAGTGCTCAAAACAGGGAGACAAAAGGGTCTATGACACATAGCCTGTGCCTTCAAATAGCTTAAACTCCAGTTAGTAACATGACCATGTACTTGGAAGATAAATATCATTCCAGATAGTCGGGACACATTACTTTTTAACCGATTAACACAAGGTGGCAATTAGTTTTTAGACAGCCCCACAGAATGTATTTAGTACCAAATGCAAAGAACAACCTGCTAGCTCTGTAGATATAGTTACTATAGATCTACAAACCACATTTAAATCTGAGAGTTCCACTGCTTTAGAATCTCTACCTCCACTCTTTTCCTCACCCCTGCTTGTCCAGCTCTTCTCTGTCTCTCACCCCTCAGGCCTCTTCACCCCTTTGTCTCTATCACCCTCCCACTCCTGACTGTGGCAATAGTGTCACCCCCTCACCTGCCACACGGGGTCTATTCTCCCGACATGGTCAGCAATCCTGCTATGTGAGTCGGGTTGTGCAGTTTCATCTCTAAAAATGCTCCAGTGGCTGCATCTCACTCTGGGAAGCCTCTAGCCTGTAAGACATGGGAGCACAGGGGCTTTGGGTCAAAGTTGTCTCCCATCACATGGAGCTGCTTCTGGTACATAGTCGACAGTAAGTTAGTTGTTGTTGAATGAATGAATAACAATTGTATATATTTTTTATCCTCATCTGAGGATATTTTCCCATTGATTTTTAGAAAGAGTGGAAGAGAGAAATATCAATGTGAGAGAAACACATCAATTAGTTGTGTCCTACAAGCGCCCTGACCAGGCCCCGAGTGGGGCAGGAGCCTACAACCGAGGTACTGGCCCTTTACGGGAATCGTACCCAGGGCTCTTTAGTCCACAGGCTGACACTCTACCCACTGAGCCAAACCGGCTAGGGCAATACCAGTTGTATGAAAATTTTAATTGTATTACATAAAATCATTAAATAAAAAACCCAAAAAGTTAGGAAAGATTTTATGACATGTAACTACTGTATGTGTCAGCTCATAAATTTATTTCAGTGGAAATAAATGCTCTGTGCTTATCTGTGGCACAGTTGAGCCAGTGTATTAGTTTTCTATTACTGTGAAAAAAAATCACCACAACTTAGTGGCTCAGAATAACCCTCATTTGCTTGCTAACATTATCTTAATGGGAAATGCAGGCGTGGTGTGGATGGGGGTCTCTGGTCAGGGTCACAAAGCTGTGTCCTCATCTGAGCTCAGGACCTTTGTCTAAGTTTATATAGAGACTAGAGGCCCAATGCACGAAAATTCATGCAAGAGTAGGCCTTCCTTCCCCCGCTGCCGGCCCTGGCTTCTGTCACGCACCCGGGACCTGGGCTGGCTTCCCTCTGGCCATGGTTTCATCAGGAAGGATGTCTGGTCTAATTAGCATATTACCCTTTTATATATAGAAATTGTCAGCATCCAACTGTTTGCAGTGAATACGGTGTCCTTCAGCCACCTCACTGTGGGACTCCTGTTGGCATTGACACTCACAGTCCGGTCCCCCAGATGTAATATCTAAAGATTTTATAATAAGAGTCTCTA